GCTCAATAACGCAATGCCCCTATAATTCAAGCATTCCTTGTGGTCTCTCTTCTTGAATACGGGTACAATAACTCCAGTTCTCCAGTCCACTGGTGTCTTTCCCGCAGTCACCGCAATTTGACAGACACGTGTAAATCAGCACATGCCTTGTTCGATTTCATCAATTCCAGCAGCCTTTACATTTTTCAAGCTTTTCGTAGCCTGTGTAATTTGATCTACAGAATTAATAATACCTTCTCCCCGCTGCTCTACAGGCGAGTCTTCCTGCGATTGCTGGGGTTAAGGAGTTCCTCAAAGAACTCTCTCCGCAGAGGAATTGCCTCATCCTTTGTAAGAGGGTGTCTAGACCGGTCCTTCAACACTCCTACACTGACCTTTATTTCACCTCAGAACTTGCGGATGGTCTGTCAGATTACATCGTTTGGCCTCAAAATTCGACTCGTACACCTCACCGAACTACTACTAGTAATCAGCATTAGTTTTAGTGACTGTTTCCCCTGCTGCCTCACGCGCTTGGGCATATCACATGCCAGTAGAAGGACCACTGCTCCCTATCCATTTCTTGAATGTAACCTTTTTAATTGCCAGATGTAGCTCCCGTTCCAAAATGAAGTTGTTTCCTGTACTCCAGGCAGTAGGGTATCTCAGTCTGATTCCGCAGCATTCGGCGGCAGCATCAAGGATGTCGCTGTTAAAGAGCTGCCACTCGGTTTTCACATCGATGATCATCACTAGGATCTGTTCAAATTGTCGGGTGTGCTTTTAGTTTCGCTTTCATACCGGACTGAAGATTTGATTCTCTAGTTGCTTCTGCCACCAGATCTTCGTATGTTACTCCATTTCTTACGGCGCAGCGTGCCAACAACAAGATAGTGATCGGTTAATAGCTCTGCGCCTCTTTTAACGTGAACATCCATTACTGATCGTCTTAAGTCAGGCGATATGATTATCAAATCGATCATCGACTTTTGTGCACAAGCTTCCCTCTACCAGTTTTACTGATACATTCTTCGATACTTGGTGTTCATAATGGACAGTACTTTGCCTGCACAAAATCGCAGCAACTTCATTGCCATTGTCTTCATGCCGTTTCTGAGGTCGCTAGGACCGTTCTTTTCAATCACGCCTTTCTACGTTTACTCTATGCGCTTGAAAATCGCCCATTAGAATGAGCGACTCCGCAATCACAGATTACAATTCATTTCCTCAAGGAAGGAATCATATTCCGTCTCAAAATTAGGCGCAGAGACCTGTAACAACGTCAGCGTTTTAGCCTGTAACTTCGATCGGAGGTCTTCCGTTGATGGAGTTCCATTCACAATAACTGCAGAAGCGAAGTTTGGTCCCTGTAAAACACTAACACCGGCCTGAAGGCACGTCGTAACGTCGACAACAGAGCAGAACAGCTCCCGCCTGCAGAGCCCTGGCTATCCATAGTCCACCGACGTGGAGTTCGTGGCTTGCTGCCTTTTCAACTAACTCCTGCTGTTTGTGCCCGAATGAGGATAGGTTTTAACTTGCGACTGTAAGGTCCCTCTGGCAGTGTCGTTCCCATGGAACCTTCTCTGACATGTAATAATGGCATGGCGCTGTCTGCCTCCTCGGTTCAAAACGGATAGCGACTCCACTACCAACTAGCGTAGTCGTGGTCTTCGACAGCCGTTATCGTGCTGCTGCGCCCCATGCTGCGAGAAGGCAATGAGCAGGTTCTCATCGCCAACTTTTCGCAGCCTGTCTGAATCCCCGCCAAAAGCCTGCGCGGCAGCTGATAACTCGGGCAACGAAACTTTGTTCGATGACGGAAGCAACGTGAGAGGCAGCTGGTTAAGTCTTACGTAAGTTTTCTTTAATCTTTATTTCTATAAAAGCCGCTGCATTTTGAGTCAACTGCAGACATATGTTTGCTGTTTTCATGAACGACCGTTCCCCTGCACAAAAATCGAGAAAGCACTCACATTAATTCTGAAACTGAATTTAAATGAAATTCGCTCTGCGTGTACTTTTGAGAACTTTATGTTAAGAATTCGTAAATGAATAACCGGCCACCAGAACATTCGGAACCGAAACAGCGAAGCAACATGGAATCTTGTTGCGAGATAAAACATTTCAAACGAAAAGCACAAATATCGTAACTTGACTAGCAATAAAAAATAAATCACAGTTAGGAATACGTCACAAGTGAGGATCCTTTCCTACCGGACGCGTCCCATTATAGATTCGACAATTTTATCCAATCGCTCATTGAGAATTTTCAGATTGGCCACTTTCTGCCGAATGCTAGGGGCGGTCAGAGAGGTCGTAGCATCTGTCGTATCAATAAATTTGGGTATGTCAGCAGAGCCGCTATAACCGCTTTCAGAAACCTCTGCTGTGGTGTCTTCATTATCATGCTCTACAACAGGAAGCTCTTCTGACAGATCCAGTACAAACGATTCGGAAATTTTAGGGGCATTAAAGCATGCAGCTTTAGGGTTAGCAAGTTCTGAAGGATCGTCACTGCTTCCCGACACGTCAAACACCTTTTTACTGTTGATCATGTGGATTTTTGAATTCTGTTCAGATATCCTCGAAACCAGTTCAGTGAATTTTGCATCTATTGCACTGATCTTACCATCGACGATGCGCCACAGGTCAGAAATTGAGTTGCTTATGCATCTGTGGATAATCGTGGACACGTCGCTGAGCCGTACAGAGTCGAGAAGTGACGATTTCAGACTTTCATTCTCTGTCTTCAGCGCCTGTATTTCGAGGAGCTGCTTGTCTTGCTCCCCTTCCAGTCCACAGATTATAGCTTCCAAATGCTTAATTCGCGCCGTTTGTTGAGCTTTGGCGCGCAGTACCGCACACTTCCTCTCCTTCTTCAGTTCGTTCATCGCGTGCACCAACTGCTGCACCTTGCTTTCAGACTGTTTCAAGTCTTTTGTGGCCTGCTGCAAGGATTCCTCTGAAAAATGTACAACCAAGTGAAAATGAAGTTTTCCCCACTGGTGAAGGGGCCAAAATGAAACCTACCGACGAAAACGGCTTTAAGGTCATTTTGAATGTTGCGTTCTAAACCTGCAATAATCAGCCGTAGTTCTTCGTTTTCCTCATGAAGATCCGATGAAGCGAGCTCAGCTTGTTTCAGCTAAAATTTAATTTTTTATTCAAAATGAAAAGCGTACAACAACTGGGTAAAAGCATCGACTACCTTTTCGTAGGTTTCCGTAAGTTCCTGTTTCAACTCCTGGTCGGTCAAATCGAAAGTTACTTTCTTAACGCGTTTCTTGGCGGCAGTATTTTTATCCCTTGCGTCTTGTACGCGCGAAGCAGAATTCAGCGAAACTATTCTAGACTGCAGCGTCTCTATCTGATTAAGCATACCAGAGAGACGCACATTTAGCATTTGCGTAGAATTAGCCGTAGCTGGAGAACTGAAAGACTAAAAACGACAACGGTTAGCGCGATCGACTACGAATACACCTGCATATAGAGCAACCTCAGTTCTATCGAAAGTTAGAGAAAGGGTATCGGCAGTGAGGTCCGTCGTTACACTACTGTTTTCGGTTGTGTCAATCAACTTCGGAGTATCCACACGGTAATAGGCGACGGCACAGCCAGGGGGCGAAGGTGTCGTACTGTAGGTGCGCGCCTCATCAGAGAAACATGACAGATTTGAGTCGGTTTCCGTCGACTTGTCGGATATATGTTTAGTTGTTAGTTGGAGCAACTGCCTTTGCAGTATCTAAAACATGGATATAAAATATAAAACAGCAGACTTGAATACCAAATATAAAGGATAACAATTTTTTGGGAGAATTTCTGGGAGGAAAGTTACCATAACAATCAACTTTTAATATAAGATATCGTTAAAACTGCACAAGAAAACAATTATCGTAACTATAAAATACTTGTGTAGTAACGTTTTTCAACTACCTACAAATCTGAAAGAACAGGAAGAACAAGATTCAGTATAGCTAATTTATTTGAAAACTGTGTGATGCAAAAGTAAAACAACTTTTTATTAAAGCAGCCATGAACCAGCTGAACATTATTTTAAACATAAAAAATAAACGCGATATTATGGGTTTATTAACATGCTGCTGGTTATCGACACCGCCGCTAAGAGAAATAACATTTTCTCTTTTGATGTCGGATTGAAACGGCGTAATGGCATCGTCCCACTGCTTCTAGTTCCAGGGGACCATTTAAACAGGCAACAGCCCCATGTTATTTGAGCACCTGCAGCGCACAGATGCAGAGCCCCATCGCTAGGCAGGTAGGAATAAATGCCTATTCGGACACCGGCAAATATGCCACTATTCGTAGGCATATTCATACATAAAAATAAGCCCGATCTTATGGGTTGCTAGTATCCATGCAGCTGGCGTTCAAATACCATAGATCCATGGCCTACTTAAATGGTCCCTTAGGCGACTAGAAGCAAGGAGACGGTGCCATCACGTCGCTTCAATCCGGTATCAAAAGAGAAAATGTCAAAAATATTATTTTAAACAATCTTATACTTACAGAATATAGTATATTGTACACATGTACTTTTATTATTAAAGACAGGAACAATTTAAGGTAAACGACATTCGTAAGGCACGTTAACAATAAATATATATATGTAAACTTCGTAATATAATTTATAATTTTACGCAATAAAAATATTAACTAAAGCTAATTTATTAAAATCATGCAAAATATTTAATTATGTTATCCATGATTATTCTAATTACTAACTGGCATCTCTACAAATGATTCTAAAACAGAAAC